TAGGGCAGTTCTTTTCAATCACGCCTTTCCACTTTTCAGCGTCTACCCTAACTGGCGCATTATAATTGTCCGCGAGAAAGAGGGACTCCGTATTGGGCACTTCATATAGAGCACACTCCACGTCCTGAAGGAAGGAATCATATTCTTCCTCTTAATTGGTCGTATAGACCTGTAACAAGGACAACGCTTTAGCCTGTTGTAGCTTCAGTCGGAGGGTTACCACCGTTTCGCTGACAGGCTTCCAATCAGTGATTCTATCTGCGAGGTTGGGTTTTACCAGAACACCAACACCGTCCTGAGTATGCGTCATGATATCGACACCTGAATAGAATAGCTTCCACCCGCGGAGTTTCAAGGTTCCAGAGCTTTGGCGCTTCGTTGACGAGAGTCCAACTATGTCGAGTTTGTACCTCGCGGCCTCATCAACTAACTCCTGCTCTTTTCCTCTGGGTAAGGATATGTTCCAATTTCGGACTGTAGGCTCTCACTGTTAGTATCTTTCCGTTCTAGCCTTATCTGACGTGCTATAGTGGCATCGCGCTGTATGCCTATTTCGTTCGCAACGGGTAGCGACTCCGTTGCTGGTTGGTTTCTTCGTCGTTGATTTGTGGATTTTCGTTAGCCGTTGTCGTGCTGCTACGTTCCCAGCTGCCAGACAGCGATGAGCAGTTTCTTATCGCTTAATTTCACAGCCTGCCTCAGTCCCCTAGCAGCCTGCGCAGCCTTCTGCACCCCGGGCGACGACCGAGGCGGTACAGTTTTGATGGCGTCAATACCACGAGGGGTAAGTGGCTACATTTTACGCAGATCTCGCCACGGTCCCTAACTTTCCTCTTTTCTTCTCAGGTCTTTTGACCGGCATCTACGGAGTTATCTGGCGTTTACTACTTATCTATGTAACATAGTTCTGATATTCATTTGGTTGAAGTTACCTGTTTATAACAAAATAGCCAGATCTGGAATCGTACTTAAAATCTTTATAGACTTTTGTACATGATGAAATTCCTACTTCCGCCTTGCCACTTTGCGCAGTCTAAGGGCAGTGTTAGCCAAAAATCCAAACTTTTAAGAAATGGATATTTTTTCCATTATTTATATGTCGTCATCTATTAAAGTTCACGGCATGGCCGTAATGCTTTCTGTAATGATGTCCGCTGTAAGGCAGGTGAAGCCTTAATTTAGGCATGTTATACTGCACACTCGAGGGAGATACTTCAAAGCGATTGCAGGCCTGGCTCGATTAGGTCTTTTGAAATTCTGTTAACTGGCGGAGCGACGGTGTGGACTCAGTTACAGAATACTGCTTATTAGCGGAGTCGAAAATTGAGTATTTTTTTGTTCATGGTTTAGTATTCATATGAAGAAATGGCATAAAACAATTTATTGAATAATGAAAATTATGTTTATGAATTGATAAACTATCCCCATTGTTCCTGTCCGGTCCACATACCGCTTCAGAGCCACGTTTTTAGTTGGAATCCGTTGTCTACACATTTCAGTTGCATCTGTCGCATTCATTCAGTTTGAATGATGGTGTTTTCTGTTCCCTAATCTACCGTTTCTATAGCTGCATAGTTAGTTATAAAGTAAGCCTAATGTCTATAGCTTTAGAAACATAGTAACATTAACAATCTATGCCGCACAGTATCTCACACAGGTTAGTAGAAAAATGGGGCAGCGCAACTTCGCGAAGCCCAATTTTGAACGAGTTGCTTCCTTGTTGGCATACTGAGACATACGTCTTCATATTTTAAAATTTTATGAAAGCATTTACAGATTAACCCAGCTATTCAAATATGGTTGATGACGAGCCACCTATCACTGTAGCGAACTAAACGGTACTGCCGATGTTCAAAGTTCATGCACCCGTGCCGACTTAAGTGTCACCTAGGGAATAAGTAATTGTAATTGTAAGGGAGTGGTGAAAGTCATGTCAGGGTTATTTGTTAGTCAGCGAGTGTTGCTACTTGCTCTTGCAGCTCCAGTTATTTCACAGTTCTTACGAGTCATCGCAGAAGTGATCGTTGGCTTAGTTCTGACTGCTACGCATCGTGAATTCCAGTTTTAGGGGCTTAAGGGCTTATTAGCATTCTCATTATAATGCAGCACAAAGCGAGTTATTTATACACAACGCATTACAGTTCCTTTGATTCCACATGATCAGTTGCTGCAGGCAACATCGCCCCAGCAAACTACCTCTCACTTATACGGCGCTGGCGACTTTGGGTGCATCATAATTAAATGCCTGATAAAGACAACAGTTGCGCTGACCATTTTATTCTGCCTGACCAAGCTCACCCGCTGTACCAATATTTCCAACAGTGTCTATCGAAATGGCCGAGAGAAAAGTACGTGTCCTTGCAGACGCCTAATGGAGGCTACGTTTGCAGTCTGATCGATCCCAAGAAAGAAGAACTGTCATTTTGGACCAGACTCTGGTCAGCCTGATATTGCTCCACTTTCACTGCTGGTTTCGTTGTTAAGTACCTGCTATATTCAGGGTTTGTGCAACTTATCATGTCTCTTATGATTTATTTAAGTAAATGTCACTAATTGCAACACGTTTCACTAGTACAAAGAATGC